TGTGTGTGTGTGTTCACTACTCTGTGTGTGTGTGTGTGTGTGTGTGTTCACTACTCAGTGTGTGTGTGTGTGTTCACTACTCACTGCTCTGTGTGTGTGTTCGTGTGTGTTCACTACTCCACAAAAAGGAGTTAATTAAGCCCACATCTAGCGATCCCAATGCTCCAAAGAGTAATTAAACATCTAAAAGTATCTTTATTTGTATGTTTTCTGAGAGGAGTACCTTTTCTTCACTCGCTGCCTCTCATCCGAAGCATACGCCTAAAGACGGCGCTCTATCCTGATACACACATATATTTAGCCTACTGTAAATCTGTGTATTAAGATATAATTTTTGATATGTTTTTGCTAGTGGGTGCTGGACACTATAGTTCATTTATGTAAGTGAGGGTTAGGGTCAACTGGCAAATCATACCCAAACATTCTTCATACAGTGGACTACCAGTAAAACTGATACAAATTTGGGACCAAAGATTATTCAGACCGAGTCTGGGGGAAAACAGTTTAGGTTTGCATGAAGCTGTTAGAAAGCATATGAGGATTTCCTAGAAGCAAGGATAAAATAACGTGTAACAAAGCACACTAAAATAAGTTTAATCTTAGCATATCCAAACACTCGCTCACTCTGTGGTTAATTGTGGTGTGTGTGTGTGTGTGTGTGTGTGAGTGTGTGTGTGTTCACTACTCACTGCTGTGTGTGTGTGTGTGTGTGTTCACTACTCCACAAAAAGGAGTTAATTAAGCCCACATCTAGCGATCCCAATGCTCCAAAGAGTAATTAAACATCTAAAAGTATCTTTATTTGTATGTTTTCTGAGAGGAGTACCTTTTCTTCACTCGCTGCCTCTCATCCGAAGCATACGCCTAAAGACGGCGCTCTATCCTGATACACACATATATTTAGCCTACTGTAAATCTGTGTATTAAGATATAATTTTTGATATGTTTTTGCTAGTGGGTGCTGGACACTATAGTTCATTTATGTAAGTGAGGGTTAGGGTCAACTGGCAAATCATACCCAAACATTCTTCATACAGTGGACTACCAGTAAAACTGATACAAATTTGGGACCAAAGATTATTCAGACCGAGTCTGGGGGAAAACAGTTTAGGTTTGCATGAAGCTGTTAGAAAGCATATGAGGATTTCCTAGAAGCAAGGATAAAATAACGTGTAACAAAGCACACTAAAATAAGTTTAATCTTAGCATATCCAAACACTCGCTCACTCTGTGGTTAATAGATTATATGCACTAGAATTTTATTAAATAGTACGTGGAGACACGTTTTTAATGAAAATATTCATATTAATCAAGGATTGGACTTTTAATGCACCTTATTTCGAAATATGTGCTTTCATATGTCCTTCAGTTATGATTATTTCATTTATTCTCTATACTATTTATTACTAATGTCTCATTTCAGTTTGGCTCTAGTTTTGCATTTATTCCAGTTTACAAGGTAATGTTAATGTAGCGTGGATTAAAGCTCATACACAGTAAATCCTTTTCACTGAACGTGTTAAAACTAAGTTTGAAAAGTTGTCGGGAGCGTGTTGTGGCGACGCTGAAGGCGTCCGTTTATAGCCTAAGTTCAGCTTTTAAGTTCTGATGCTTTTATTTTGGCTTCAAAATTATTTATGGACTTTTACAAAACATTTAAAATTCATAATGTACTATATAAAGAATATACATATCAATATATACTCGAGTAAATCTGTAGTTTATCAGGTGTTTTTCTTTGGAAAACTTGACTACATTCCAAAGCATAACGTCGTACTTTTTACTGCACTACATTTCATAAATAAGTGTTTGTTTTTTTACCTTTAATACTTAAAAACATTAGAAATGTAGTACTTTCTTGTACTCCAGTAAATCTTTCAATTACTTTTACTTGAGTAAAAGAAAGTACTACATTTCTAATGTAATTAAGTATTAAATTCAATTCAATATGAAATGCAGTGCAGTAAAAAGTGCAATGCTTTGGAGTGTTGTGAAGTAAAGTTTTCTAAAGAAAAGCACTCTGATAAAGCACACACAGACAGTATCTTTAAAAGCAGAGTAAAAACACTTCACTTCCGTCCGCCTCTGAATATAACTAATGTATATTATAGGGCTGCACGATTAATGTGAATGTGATCATCAAGCGCATTTAGTCAGTAAAGCTGGTTCTGTAATCAGCAGGAGATCATCATCACCTGCTTTCAGATGGAGCAGCATTTACTACACAGAGCCGTAGCTCACGGACAAGCTACGCAAAAAAAAAATAAATAAAATAAAAATTCAGACGACTTTATTGCGCGATTCTGAAATTGAAGAAATCGTTGGTGATAATGACGGCTGTTTGCATAGCTTCTCAGTGAGCTACGCCTCTGTGTAGTAAATGCTGCTCCATCTGAAAGCAGGTGAAAATACCACATTTAATAACATGTTTTTACTCCAAACTCACTTCATAACGTCAGTCGAGTGTTTGAAGTAAATCCTTCTGTGAGATGATGTGGCTTCTTACACAGAATAAGACACGCGACATATTTCATAGTATTTAAGCAGTGATAAAGGCATTGCATTATAAATATACTTTATTTTAATGAAAATTATAATAATAAGCACTCAGATAAACCGTATATTGCCGTAGTCGTGTGTTTATTAGTCACGCTGAATCAATGAAAGCAGTTGAATCTGGTTTATTCAGCCGCAGCGATAGCCATTTTCTGGGTTTCTTCTGCGAGGCGTATTTGGAGTTTCTCTGGCCTTCGGATGGAGATTTACTGCTGATCACAGAACCGTGCTTCACTGAAAGATACGCACGACAATCACAGCTAATATCTGGACATTTCTTTACGACAGAAAAGCTACGGTCACTGTCATTTCTTGAATATGTGGACATTAAACATGCAAACTCAGAGCGAGGGCTTGAACGTTTATTTTGAAATCGTGATGAGCAGTTAGCATATTTAAAGATATTGATGCATTCTCATGAGTTGGCAAAGGCTCGTGAATGATTTACATCACAAATCTGATGCAAGGCCTCACAGGTTCCCAGATGAACATTATATACTCAAACCAAACTCACAGCATCTGCGGCGATATAGCTCGAGTCGCTAACAGTTTGTGCCGAGCGACACGAACACAACACACATGCATGTAAATAATTACAATGCATGTTTCATTGAATCGTAGCCTTTGTGAATTAACAACAGCGTTATGCTTTATAACTTCTAAATGGGATTAATTTATCGTGCAGTCTCAGAAAATTGTCTAATAATGCGTTTCATAAGTTCTCGTGTGTGGGATTTACAATCGAGGATTTTTCAACATTTAGAGAAGAACACAACTTTCTTGTCAAGTTAGTTTAAATGAGATGACACACTGTGGTACAGCATCCGGGTAGAAAGCTTCTCCGGGGATATAACTCAGCAGCCAGAGCTTACCTCTCTGTGTTCAGACGCCATGATGGTCAACACGTGTCTCTGTCAACTATTTAAAGCCAATTTCAGAAGAACCGGAAGTTACGTCACCTAATGATGGGAGCAACGAACCTTTTCGAAGCTTCGAATCAATTGAACCAAGTTGCTTCACAAAACGATTCAGTGATTCGAAGCGCTGGAAACAGCACTAGTGCCGCCTGCTGGTCAGAAGCGTGTCAACGCAACACAAACTCAGCTAAAACATGCATACAAACTGCTTTTACAAACACATTGCACATGTTTTATTGAAAGTAGAATACATTAAATGCAATACAAATACTAAAATACTATTAAATATGAAGTGTCTGTATATATGTGGTTTTCAAAATAGTTTATATTAATTTGCAGGGTTTTGTTGTTTGTGTTTTATGGACAGCTTCTATTATAGACATATGTTTTGTTTTCCAAGCTGCTGTTTTATCAAATATGAAGAAATTAATTTGTAGCTTATTTAAACAATTTGACACTTACAATTAAAAAAAAGATTAAAATGGAAAAAAAACAGATTTTAAGATTTAATATGTCGCTACATTAAAATTTATTTAAAAAATGAAATCACTCATCAATAGAAAAAACTGATTTATGCCTATTTTGAGTCGACTTGATTATTGCAGTGCATTTTTACTGTCCTTATGCAAAAAACAAACAAACAATACACAACTGAGAGACTTGTTTAGAATTATTTATTGGTTTTGTTTTTATGCATTTAAAGTTTAACATCATTATAAAGTGGGTCTCAGCTTTAATCTGTTATATTAACTATGATATTTTACCTGATGGTTTTTGTAATGCTTTTTTAATGTAAAGCAGTATGAGCTCCATTCCTTGTATGAAAAGTGCTATAGAAATAAAGTTATTATTAGGCTATTATTATTCTGTAAATTCTCTTTACTGTATTCTCAGTGGTTCTTGTTACTGAAATACAAGATTCTTATTTTAATCAGATATCATTAAAGTCAGCACACCACCACAATACTGCTACGATGTAGAAATAGTTTACCAATTAAATCATGTCCCATTGTTTGTAATAATGAGAATTTAGGCAAATGTCCTGTCCAGAAAATAATGTCATGTTCTTAGCAGGATTTTACATTTAATTCTAACACACTTTAGACTGAAATACTGCAGTTAATGTGATTTCCAAATCATTAACACAACTCTGTGCTGCTCGTCTACATTATACTTTACTCTGCAATTCCTTTACGATCAGCACACAAGTTTAAATGTTTTACAAACAGCTTTATCTATACATATCGTCACTCCAAATCACTTTATTCTATAGGTTTGAAGAAAGTCAGTCAAAATCACTCCAGAAATCAAAGTGCATTCATTTACACCATGTCCCATTTTTAAACACTCAATCTTTCTTTTATAGAAGTGACCTGATTATTACTCTATTAATACAATCACAGTACTGAGCAGTGGATCAGGGTCACAGATTTTTATAGTAGGCCGATTACAGAGAGCAAAAACTGTTTGAATAAAAGATAGGCATACACACAGAATCAGTTTAAAACAGCATTTTATCTTTGTAGACGCCAAAAACAATACTAAAACCAGTGGAAATTAAACGTGCTTGCGGCAATGATAATACTCAAATATATCAGAAGCCCAGCTTTGCTAGTGATGGAGAAATTAATCAGTTACAAACTCTGAAGCAATTGCTTCACAAAACGAGTCCGTGAAGCACTGGAAACACCACACGCTGTAGAAAAACAGCTTTTACAAACAAATCCAAATGTGTTATTGGGAGTGTAATCTACTAAATCCAATTAACTAATCATTTAATTCCATTACACATGAAGGGTCCATATATGTGCTTTTTATTGGCATGTGAAATTGTAGCACAAATAAGTGCTTTTAACAAGTTATCACCTGAATATATTAATAACAGTTGAGACTGAAGATGAATAAATGCATGAAATAAAACACAGATGTGATGAAGAGCAAGTTCCAGTGGAATCTCTTCACAATCCTCTGAAGCATTCAGTCCATCATTCTGGTGATCGAGCAGCAGTTTCTCTGCAGATGAGGATTGAGATGCATCTGAAATACACTGAGTTTGGAGTTACAGTGGCTCTCTTCCACTAGTTTGTGTAAAAACAGCCGTTCACGAAGGACAAAAGTACCAAGGCCTTCCCAATGTTAAAAGGAAAAGTGAGAGTCAGAAGAGAACTTTGTTTTTTGGGTGACTGGGAAGGTTTATGCATAATCCCCAAGTAATAATTCAAACAACCTGACATGGATTATAAACGCAATATCTGTTACTTTGTGGAGAAGAGCAGAGATGAATCTTCAGATGAACGGAGCGCACTCATATGTGACCAATAAACTAAAAAGGAGAAAATAACGTTTGTTTGGAAACCAGTTACAGTTTTAAAGATGGATTTGTACTTTTATTTTAGAATGAAATTTTACATTAGGAGTGTATGGACCGTCTGTAGCTTAAAAAAAAAAAAAAAGGAACAAACACAGAACTGGAATAAAAAGCAGATAGAGAGCAATGAACCAAAGACAAGAGACACCAGCAGGAGAACAGAACAAGACCATGATCATCAGCAATGACAAAATAAAGACAACTGAACTGAAAACATGAACAAATCTAGACCGATGTGACACTTATGAACATGCAGAAAAGAAAAGCCCACAAACACACACACAACAAATGAACAAGTGTGGCAGCTTTCCAATTCTCCCTCAGCGTGGCAAGTTCCTGATAACGTGGCAATATCCAATTCTGTAGAACAAGCAATCATGAAATAAAATCAAACTCATAAATGCTGAAGGCAGATGTGGTGTAGAAATGACTGCACTGTAATGATAGCTGAATTAAAGAGTCACTGACAGAATGGTCACAGAAAGTCAAAGAACAAATTAAATTGCATTCATCAGTGGGATCTGGAAACACAAACAGAACTAGAATTATTCAAAGCTAGTCGTTGAAGAATGATTACAGCAAACTCACAGAAACAGCAGCCGTCCAGAGAAACTCCAGTTCATCACTTCTTCTGTCGTTCTTCAGCGTTTCTTCTTCTTTTATGCATTTACTGGCGAGAGGCAAGTTAACTAATAACTAAAGGAATAAAACTAAACCTCAGATTTGTTCCTGTAACTCTCGGGTGTGCCAGGAAGCAAAAAAAGGGAATCTGCACATTTGAAGATTTTCATATAAAAGTGACAACAAAATGCAAAAGTGTACTAACACGAAAAAAAAATTCAGCAAACATTTCAGACCATCTTGCACAATCTTCAAGCTTTAAACCTTATAAATCACCTGCATATATACGTGGTGCAAGACACTAATTGGAGACACCAGATAATTGACACAATTAAAGGAAAGCTGATTGATTAATTATACTCTAAGTGAATGATATGTAAATCATGGATGGAGTAAGCAACAAACATCAAAAGTGGGATGAAAAAAGACGTTCATTAAAGACAAGAGACTTAAAGTCACATTGTATCCAAAAGCGTGTTCAGTTTGAACCTGACGCAGCGTAATGATCTTTATTGACTGTTAGAAGATCTATAGACTGACTTCTGTTTACAGACAGTGATCATTAATGAGAGAATGAAGGTGAACAGAAGATGAACATACAGTACATGTTACGTCACTATATTAATAAAGGTGACTTGACTTACTGCACCTTTAATAACACAGTTTGGTAAAGACACACGACACAATCGGCTCACTTCAACACACACAGAGTCAGGATCAGACAGAAATCCTGATTCAGTGACTTCAAGACAAGATACCATAAGATTAGATCATTAGATTTAGAGCAATGAATTTAGGAAAAGTCCTAACGCTTACACATACTAAAAAATACTGATACAAAAAGAAATGTTTTATTCTGTTAAGATATGTTTAGATGTTACCCTAGAAAACAGACACGCAGATGTTTATGATTAAGAGAGATCTTTAGTCTTCTCAAGATTCTTCAGTCTTCAGACTCCCAGCGTGTCTTCAGTCAGCTGAGATCCCAGCAGGAGGTTCCCGTCACACACACACTGAGACAGACCGCCCGCTGAAACACACACACACACACACACACAATCACCACTGAATAAGGACATGTACAGCAAGCACTGAATGAATGAATGAGCGTCGGCTCACGTTTCTGAGAGCGGATCCATGACGCCGCCTTCATGGCCACAAACTGCCACTCCACCTGCTGATCGAGTTTATACGAGTATAACCAGATGAGAGCGAGGACGGTGGCCCACACTGACCCGTCCACCTGAAACACACACAACACACGTCATACACACACACACACACACACACACACACACAGAGAGAGAGAGACAATCATGACCTACCTGAGGATATGACATCACATAATAGTAATAATCTTTATTTTCTATAGCGCCTTTAATGTTACATCTCAAAGCACTTTACATACACAAGTAAAACAATAAAATAACCCATGTGTGACCTTGGAGCACAAAACCAGTCATAAGGGTCAATTTTGTGAAACTGACATTTATACATCATCTGAGAGCTGATAAGCTTTCCATTGATGTATGGTTTGTCAGGACAGAACAATATTTGGCTGAGATACAACTATTTGAAAATCTGGAATCTGAGGGTGCAAAAAAATCTAAATATTGAGAAAATCATCTTTAAAGTTGTTCAAATGAAGTTCTTAGCAATGCATATTACTAATCAAACATTAAGTTTTGATATATTTACGGTAGGACATTTACAAAATATCTTCATGGAACATGATCTTTACTTAATATCCTAATGATTTTTGGCATAAAAGAGAAATGTATAATTGTGACCCATACAATGTATTGTTGGCTATTGCTACAAATATCCCCCAGCGACTCAACACTGCTTTTGTGCTGCAGGGACACATATAAACATTAAAATAAGCAAGAAGAGAAGAAATGCATTCAGACATTAAAAAATAAAATGATATATAATTAATATAAAAATCTAAGTAAATCTACCCTAAAGAAATGAGTTTTATGGCAAGATTTAAAAATGCAAAAAGAGATTTTGCTGGCCTTAACTCAATAGGTAAAGAGTTCTATAGTTTTGGAGCTAGTGAAGAAAAAGCCCCATCTCCCATCGATCTTAAACATGTTGAGGGAACAGTTAACAGACCAGTTTCAGATGAGTGAAGATCACGCATTAGTGTATTTAGGGAGTTTAAAGCTCTGACAAATATCGCGGTGCCAAACCATGCAGACTGCAAAGCCTTAAATAAGCACCAGAATTTTAAAATCAGCCCTAAAACTAACAGCAAGCCGATGCAATGACTCCAAGAGAGGAGTGATATGATCTCTAATCCTAGTTCAAGTTAGGATTCTAGCAGCCAAATTTTGTTTAGGGTAGCATTTGAAACCCCGGCTAACAAAGCATTGCAATAGTCAATAATACAGGAGAATACAACAGTGTTAATCAACTTCTCAGCACTGGATTTGTCCCACCTGTGCTGGTCTGTGATTGGTCACCTCGTCCTCCGTCTTCCCAAACACACCAGCCAGCGCTGCGTTTAGCTCCCAGCATCCCACTGCCTTCTGAAGAGAGACCAGCTGGAGCAAAGGGTCCTTCTGGAGCTCGGGTTCGGCTGAAACACACGCATGGATCAGGCAGAAGGAAGCAGCATGATTTCTGTTATGATTGACAGTAAAGCAGATCAGTGCAGACAGGATTCGTTTTCAGGGCTATAAACGGATCCTAGTTAAGCCTGTTTCTCAATGTTCTGAAACAGAGAGAGTTTCGCCATTTCTGAAGCTTTGACCTCAGCACCTGAAGCAGACAGACCAGCGGTGATGACGACGATGACATCACCATCCAAACGCAGTGATGATGTCATCACACACAGTTCAGCGCCGTTACATGACCAAAAATCAGATGGGATGGAAATCCAGCACCGTAACTGTTACATAATAATATGACGTCCACATCTGATCAGAGTAATGTGTTCTGAATGTGAGCCGGATGTGTTGATTTACCCTGATGTGACGCAGAAGCAGATGCAACCATCATGCTGCATTCTGTAGATTGGAAGAAGACATGATTAGACGCTGATTTAAGAGCATTTGCTAAAAAACAAGCATTCAAAGAGTGACAATTAGACACTGAGAAAAGAACAAGACACGTTAGTGACGTGCGTGTTGGCTGCTTACTTCTAATACACGGTTCAGTGTCAACATGCATTGCTATTAATACAGAGAGAAACTGATGAGAGCACATTCAGATATGGAGAAAAAGACAATTAGATAAAAATACACATTCAAAAAAGAACAAGACAAGTTGAGTGGCACTGCCTTTTGTCTCTGCATAGCTCCGTCCTATAGAGCAAAATTCCTTGATAACCACCCTTCCTAAAAATACACAGAGAAAAACACATAAGAATAACAGACACTTTTAAAACACTCATCTGTCAAAATCACAAACTAAATCAAAACCCTCACACCAAACAACACACACACGGCTCAAATCCATCTCAAGAGCTCCAAAAACGGTCAAGTTGGTTGCATTCTTACTTCTATTTTTCAGTAATTAGCTCTATGTATTGGTACTGAAAAACCATCCGTTATTAGTTTTTATATTTTACTTGGTTTATCCACAGAGGGCATCTTTGTGTCACATCTTCATTATATGAACATATACAGAAATCTCAATATTTCTGTAAATTCTCTCAATATTAAAAACCAATCTTCACCAGGTTGAAGAAGTTCTTGTTCCTTAGACCAGGGATGGAGCTACGTCCTTTGGCCTCCCTGCTGCACAACTGCTGTTTCTTTTGTTCTTGAAAAGAATTGCATTTATTTAGACGCAGAACCGTCTCTTTACGACCACAACAAAATGGGGTCTTTTCAGACGCGCTCTCCGACTTCTCCTCAGCATCAGGCGTGAGATAAACAAGTGTGGAAAACGTACAAATGGAAAATGAACCATACAAGTGTGAATGCGCAATTTCTTCTTCTTCGAAATGCATCTATCTTTGTGCGAATCATTCGTGATCCAGCTTCATCTACAGAAGATGTGAGTGTAAGGTTTAGTAATGAATCTCTGCAATTAGCAAGTGTCACGATGAACAAAGCAAACAGTCCCTCAGAGAGTGGCTCGGAAGAGAGGGGAGGGGTCAGCAGAGCTCATTTGCATTTAAAGCGACATGCAACAAAACGGCTTGCTGTAGACAGAGCTGTTTTTGACAGGGTAAAAACTGTGTAGTTTTACACTACGATTGAGAAATTTTAACCAAACTATGTTACAGACTTTTCATTAAGACCCTAAAGAATCATATCAACTTGTGGAAAATGGGCATCCGGTGACCCCCGTAAGATGGAAATAAGATTAAGACCTTCGATCACGTCATGATCTATTCTGTTGTGCAGCGCTCAAAATTGTGGACAACATAAGCCAGTTCCACCGTAAAACAGCCTCTGAATCGTGAAACTCAGATGAGCGCAGCACTGAATTGTTTTTTTTCATGAATTTAAATGTGTGCAGCCTTCCGTTTGAGAGGCACCCATAGATAAGCTTTGTTGAACTGAAAAAGGACCTGACTCTGGATTCCCAACGCCTCAGAATCCATTCTTTTTGGAATTGATTCCCAGCCCTAGTCTTATTCAAATAGCTAGCTATCTATGTAGAAACTGGCTCGCTGGATGACACAGTTTCAGACTCAGATGTACTCTTGCTGTGACACAATCACAGAAACTGTGGTTAAACCAGGTAAAATAACAACTGCATCACCAATACAAAGAGATCATCAATCCAAAGAAATTAGGAAAATGATCAAACACCCTCGATTGGACCACTTGAGCTGGACTGACCCACATAAAAGGTTTAAAAGGAAAGAACAATGTATATTATTTCTTACGGCTCATTTTCGCAGAGGCACCATACGCTACATACCGTTGCCTCAAACCTAATGAAGAATAGAATTCCACATGTTTAGGACGTCAGCACACCAATATTACACTATTATGTGACTGGAAAACTGCTTATGAAACCCCACTTCTACACAGAAGTTTAGAGTTTATCTGGTGCAGGTGTGTTTGATTGGGACTGGAGGACAGTCCTGCTCTAAACACACACAGAATCGGTGAACTTACGCTCTGTTAGCACTCTCCTCTGCAGCAGCGGCCCTTTCATTGTCTGTCTGCTGTCTTTATTAACGCCGATGAAGGCCGTGTGAACGCTGCTCACTCCGGCCTGAACGCTGAGCGCCACGATCCTGCTCCTGATGTTCTCCACACCTGCAGCTCCTCCGGCTCGATCCTGCAGCTCCAGAGAGCGGATCACAGACCGGGCCGCCAGCCGGTGGATCGTCAGCCTGCAGCAAACACAAGCCTGTGATAAAGACTGGCTGATCGAGTGGCACTAATGTGAACGCAGGACTTCTGATCACACTCTCATTTGAATTGTCTCATGTCACATCTATAATTGTCCTATTTTGCAAGTTGCTCCAAACAATGGTATAAACATAATTCAGTGTAAATAGTGATAATCGTAATTAATCATCGCAATTACAATTTCAAGAGAATAATCGACAATTATGATTTTTGTCATAATCATGCAGCACTAAAATGACTGCCAGTAAAGGCTGGCTCACACTAAAAGATGTTTACAGTCTTATCAGATTTTCACAATGTAAGAGACCACAAACGTGACAATTGTTTCTATAGTGTGTATTAATGTCCATGCATCACCTCTGCTCTGTTAGTTTCATATGTTATAAACTAGTTTGTTTGCACAGCATTTGTCTTAAACCGTTAACCCAATTTTGCCCTGTGTGATGTCTGTATATTGTACTTTTATAGTATTTGCTGCCACGTTTATGCAATTTATTTCACTGCTTGCGCACATTTGTGTCTTTGTGTATGTGAGTGTGTGTGTGTGTGTGTGTGTGCGCATGTGTGTCTTTGTGTGTGTGAGTGTGTGTGTGTGTGTGTGTGTGTTACCCTGTGTCTTCCGCTGGTTTAAGAGTAAACTGGAGCTGGTTAGTCACTGGTTGATCTTTCAGCCTGTATTTCACTGTTACAGCTCCTTCTGTCTCTAACAGCTGAGAGAAAATCAGTGTCAGGATGAGAAAAACACCTCTCCGATGTTCAGAACGAGTGTTTCGTGATTAAAGCATTAGCTCACTTCCAGAATAAAAATTTCCTGACAATGTACTCACCCCCATGTCAAAGATGTTCACGTCTTTCTTTCTATAGTCAAAAAGAAATTAAGGTTTTTGAGGAAAACAATCCAGGATTTTTCTCCATAAAGTGGACTTCAATGGTGTCCACGGATTAAAGGTTAAAAATGCTGTTTTAATGCAGCTTCAGAGAGCTTGACACGATCCCAGCCGATGGGGATAAGGGTCTTATCTAGCGAAACCATCGTCTAATTTTATAAATAAAAATGATATACTTTTTAAACACAGATGCTCATCTTTCACTAGCTCTGCTTGTGCATGTGCATCTTCACACATTACGTAATCACATTGGAAACATCACGTGTGGTTTGCTCTTCATCTTTGTGCGTCAGTTCAAATAGGAAGCGTAGGGTGAAAACTCCATCTGTTTTTCTCCTCCAACTTCAAAATCGTCCAACATCGTTGTTTTAAATTTTTTTTTGTAAAGGGCATTTGACTTTCTTTGCACGTTCGCTCTGTAAACACTGGGTCGGTACTTCCACCAACATCACATGTGCATTATGATGTAATGCGTGAGGTCGAGCTAGTACAAGACGAGAATTTGTGTTTAACAAGTATATAATGTTTTTGTTTTTTTTAGAAAATGACCGATGGTTTCGCTAGATAAGACCCTTATTCCCTGGCTGGGATCGTGTAGAGCTCTTTGAAGCTGCATTAAAACTGCATTTTTAACCTTTAATCCGTTGGACACCATTGAAGTCCACTATATGGAGAAAAATCCTGGAATGTTTCCTCAACAACTTTAATTTCTTTTCGACTGAAGAAAGAAAGACATGAACATCTTGGATGACATGGGGGTGTGTAAATTAACAGGAATTTTTTATTCTGGAAGTGAACTACTCCTGTAATACATTTGGCTGTACCTGTCGGGGGTGATCCGTGTAACAGGGCTGACTGTAGATGTGTTTCAGCGGCCGTAGGATCTCTGTGCCGCCCATATCTG